CTGTCCAACCCGTCAGCTATCAAACCGCTTAATCACCACGACACCCTCCCCCCCTCCCAACCGCTCCTCGAACCCACGCCCACCCTCGTACCTCCTGCAGCCGGTCGATATACAGACGACAGGTCTCCAGGTCGCAGTCTCCCCGGACCACGATGATCCCCACGGGAATGGCTGGGGGGGGAAGGCAAAGCAAAACGTGGGCTGACTCAGGACAGCTACAGCTTCCGATTGGCGCAAGAGAGGGACGCGATCAGACACCCCGTCAATCAAGCCACAACGTCCAATCCAGTGTCCAACATGTCAACCCTTCATCCAACACATCAATCCACTGTCCAACACAGTGGACAGTGGATTGATGTCCACTGTGAAGATTTCATCCAACACATCAACCTTTCATCCAACACGTCAACCCACTGTCCAAGAGATCATCCATAATGACTCATGGCCTCCTAATAACCCCCCTCTCTGAACTGGCTCCATCCCTCTGCTCTCCTCCCCACTGGGAGCTGGTGTGTGTGAGAGGACTGGAGCATCATCCAGGTGGGGCTGCATACTGGTGGTGGTAGTGGGATTCCCCCTGACCTGAAAAGAGCTCGGAGTGGAGGGTCCAGACAAGTTCTATATATGTGAAAGGCATTATTAATTACTATTATTTTCCTTTTTTTTCTGTCATTTATCCCAGCAAATCTCTCTCCTTATAGCCAGATAACAGAAGATACAATTCTCCTTCCCTGCTCTCCCAGCAGCGGGAAGACTTTTCTTTTCTGGCCCTTCTCTAACCAAAAACGCAATTCGTAGCCACCTGTATCGCAGGGGTTGTCTTACAATTTACAGGCTCTCTCTCCCCGGTTTCTCAATCGCTGCTGTCCCAATATGTGCAGGGCCCGCAAAACAGAACTGGGATTCAGAGTCCCAGCTTTAACGAGGCGCTCGTCTCGTACAGAGGAGTGTTTTGTGCTGCTATCAACGCCTGCTAAGTAACCGGCAATCCCCTCCATGTGGCGTGAAAGCTGTTAATTAATTAGCTGCTCTTTCTGCATGAATCATGACGGTAAAGCTCAAGACTCTGAATTCAGCCACACTGAGGCAGCGGGGGTCATGAGTTCTTACTACATCAAAGCGCCAAGCACCCCCGTTCTAGATAGCCGAGGGGGTTAGAGGTTAAGAAGCCGATACAATCTGGGGCGCGACGACAATACTAAAATACAGCAGGGTAAAGGAGAAATTATCAGTTCAGTTAGCACCCAGAAGTCAGGATAATGTAACGCTTACGGCCGACAGGCACTGTG